CCCGTCCGAGGTCCAGTAGTCCGGTGCTCTGGGCCTTTGGCCAGGGCCTGCACACACAACACAGAAGCTCCCCCACAGTCCAGTAACAACAAGAGAAACAGTTGGTTTCCCATAATCCCCAGGTAGGATCCTCTACTGACCTAAGAAGCCCCCACAAGGTCTCACCTCTTACCAGGACACAGAACCTCCCAATAGTGCCACCCCAGGCAGTACTCAGACTTTGGGGGAACACTCAGCCTCTACACTATAGCAGGTAAAGACAATAGACAATAGACAATAGACAACAGAAAAATAAGTTACTCCAAGTTTGATTTTCTTCTTCTTATTTTTTTTTTTTTGAGATAGGGTCTCATGAAGCCCAGGCTAGCCTCCAACACGATATGTAGCTAAGGCTGGCCTTGCTGATCCTCTTGCCTCTGTCGGTCAATTTCTGGGATTACAGATGTACGCTACTACATCTGCCTCTCCTGATTTCTTTCTTCCTTTCTTTCTTCCTTTCTTTCTTTGTTCTTTTGGGTTTTGTTTTGTTTTGTTTTTCAAGACAGGGTTTCTCTGCGTAGAGTGTTCTGGAAGCTGGAAATGTATCTTGGTTAGTACATTTAGAGCCTATCCTGGCACTCCCTCTGTAGACCAGGCTGGCCTCGAACTCACAGAGATCCACCTGCCTCTACCTCCTGAGTGCTGGGATTAAAGGCGTGCGCCACCAACCACCAGCTCTGATTTCTAAGGTCAGATGAGAACTTAATTTCGACTTGGTGACATGGAACTTCTCAGCATGGATGACATCATTTGAGGGGACTCACACACAGTGGGGGGCTCATTCCAAGACCCCCAAATTAGGCACAAACTACTCCCAAACACCTGTTTTATTAGGTGGGGAAGAAAGGTTAACGTGGCTGCTTTCTGACTCTGGCAGAAAAACAGCAGCGAATGACCTGCGGTTGTAATTTTAAGAAGACAAAGAGGGAGGTCTGTGTTAGAATGGGTTAGGGGGCGGTGGTAAAGGAGATAGGGGATGAGAGAGAAGGGGGAGGGGACAAAGGAGAAGGGCAGGGATATTTGTCCTGGAGAGACAAAAGTGTGGCCCACAGACAAGTGGCTGTTTAGAAAATGAGAAGCCCTGTGTTAGGATGAGGTGTTTAAGTATATTGGGCATGTTAATTAGGTGAACCAAAAGGGGCTTTTGATTGCTGGACTTCAATACTTTGATAACTGGACCTTGGTAGTCAGCTTCAGGAAGAGTAAGTGGTCAATAAGGGAAGAGAGGTGGCTCACTTTAGGAATGTTCTCAGGCTCTCCCTGAACATAACTGCACCATGGAAAGATCTAGAGAATATCCAGGCCTCAGGTCAACTGCATATGCACAGAGCTTTCCTTATCTCCCATCCTCGAATGGTCCCTTCCAGACCAACTGGGCTGTTTCAGGGCAGAACAGAAGGTCTACACAGAGAAGAACCCTGATTGGCCAGTTTGGGTCAGATGCTGGGCCGTCCATCTGCCGGCCAGCCAATAGGAAAGCCGTATGAGAAAAGATGGCAGCTTCTGTTTGAATTACCTGCTGGAAATGAGGTTACCCTTTCTAAAACGGAGGAAGAAGAGCCTGAGATGATTCAGTCGATAAAGTACTTGCCGTAGCCCTAAGTTCAGCTCTCTAGCACTCACGTAAAAAGCTGGCACAGCAGTGTGTACCTGTTGTCCCAGATCAGGGCAGGCAAGGATAGGACAGCAGGATCCCTGGGGCTTGGCCAGCCAGACTAGATGAATCGATGAGCTCCATGTTTAGTGAGAGATCCCGTTTTTGTTTTTTGTTTTTGTTGTTGTTGTTGTTTTTGACTATTGACTATTGTCAATAGTCAATAAAGAAATAGTCAATAAAGAATAGTCAATAAAGAAATAAAGGTAAGGGCTGGAGACATGGCTCAGCAGTTAAGAGTGTAGCATGATAAATAAAAGACCCAAAGACTGATACTGGGGTTCAAACTTCAAGCTGAAGGTCAGAAAAGCAAAGCAGCTGGCCATTACCACCTTCTCTCTACCTTGGGCTGAATGGGCTGATCCTGTCTCCACTAACTCTCACCAAGCCTCAGACTGTAACCTTTCCTCAGCGTGGCTGGGGAAGGAATTCCTCATACTTCAGTGTGGCTGGAGAATGAATGCCTCCTACCGGGCTCCTGTCTTTTATACCCCTCTAGTGCTGGGTGTGAGCTATAATTCTCTTTTAGACTGATTTACTCTTGTGTAGATCTGAGTGGCCTTGAACTCACAGAGATCCATCTACCTCTTAATCCTGAGTCCTAGGATTAAAGGTGTGTACCACCACACCTCCTAGCTTCCCACTGCTGGGTTAAAGGTGTGTACCTGGCTTCTATGGCTTGTGGCTGACTTTGCTTTCTGAATCCTCGGGCCAACTTTAATAATCACAAATAATATATCACTAATAAACCACAAATAATATATCACTACATAAGAGCACATACCACTCTTGCAGAGGACTGAAGTTTGGTACCCAGTTCCCGTGTCAAGCAGTTCACAATCATCTGTAACTCCAGCTCTAGGGGATCACACACCCTGTTCTCAACTCCACAGTCACCTGCTCTCATAGGTGCATAGACGCCCTCACACTTGTATACACATAATCATTAATAAGGTGGGAAGTGATTGGGGAAGACTTCCAACGTCAGCCTCTGAACGTGTCTGCACACTATGCAATCCATACATACATACAACATGTACAAACACACTAACAAAATAAAAAGGAGGAAGAGATGGCAAAGTATTCAGTGATCACTTCAGTCCACCTATGGTGCCACAGTATATACCTGCCCTTCTTCCCAGATACAGGAAGTTGTCACTACCTGGCAGCTCCGAGCCTGCCCCAGCCTGGCCATGAAACACACTGACCTTCCCTCCCAGGAGACTTACAGCTATGGCATCCTGCCAAAGATCTAGTGACAGCCATCAGTTCTAGACCGTGGATTCTTGTGGTCCCAAGAGCTATGAGCTACATGAGAAATGTATTCACTCCCAATATGGTAACATAGATCATGAAGGAACAGGAAAATCCAAGAGGAAACACTGACTCTGGCAACAGCTATACATTCAGTGACTTCTCTTTCAGCTTCCACATCTGATAAATATTTGAGGGACAAAATACTGCAGAATCATAATGAACACTCAGACTGTGGAGACTGTGACAGGCAAGAGCAAAGCTGATGCAACAGATACAAACCCAGTAACTGCAGGAAGACAGTGCGTCTCTCTTCTCTGGCAGAGCAGGAGCGGGCTGCAGGCCAGGCCTGTGGGCTGCGTTGCTCTGTTCTACAAGGCTGTTCTGGAAATGAGAACCCTGTCCAAGTGTCCCACCATACACCCTAGGGTGTGCCCTCATACACAGGTTTAAACTGGCACATGGTCCCATTCAGGATTGAGCCCTTTGCTGGACAAGATGGTACACACCCTTAATCCCAGGAGACAAAGGCAGGTTGATCTCTGTGAATTTGAGGCCAACTTGATCTACATAACAAGGTCCAGGCCAGCTAGCACTACATCATGAGGTCTGTCTCAACAAAACAAAAGAAATCAAGTCTCAGACCCTAGGAAGGGAAAGAGGAAATGGAGGGCAAGCAGTGAGCTTCTAGACCTGTCACCATATGTCATTCACTGCACTTACCGCTTTCAGTCACACTCATTGGCTTAAACTGCATACTTGGGAAGGGGAAATGGCTCAGCGGTGCAAGCATGAGGACCTGAGTTCAAATCCCAAGCATCCATGCAGGTAAAAAGCTGGGTGTGGTCACATTTGCCTGTAATCCCAGTGCTATTGGGTTATTGTAGGGAGAAAGGAGGGTCCTTGGGCATGTTGGCTGTCAGCCCAGTTACAGGATCCTTCTCTCAGTCGAATAGAGAATGATGCTACTATACAGTTATATTCCTATATTCTCCTTTGACCTGCACACAGGTACACACATGTCTCATAGGCACACGCAGCCAACAAAACTGGAGAACTACAGGAAACTCCAAGGGAGGCTGGAAAAGGTGGTTTCCAGCTGTGTAGCTCTGTGCCCAGCTAAACTCAAATGGAGAGCAATGAGCAGCCTCTGTCCCCCGACCCCCCACAAGGATCTGATCTGTACACCTTCTTCTTCCCATACATAAAGCAGCTGCCCTCCTGGCTAAGGGAGGCCTCTGAGGGCAGAGTCCCACAGCTACACTGCTTGGTCCTCTGGTTCAGTGGCCAATGAACTGAATAGTTTCCTGAACAGTCAGTTCTCCATTGACTTTGTCAAGCCTCAGCATCTCTCTGGGTCTTGACCTTGACCTTGGGGGTGATGAGGCTACTCACCTGCCCAGTTGCAATGCCTTTTGCTTGGGAACCAGGATGAGGCAATAGGGAAACGAAGACCTGAGCATTCTTGGAAAATCCACCCCACAGTGGGTCCCAGTGTCCCTCAGTGCTTCTGAACACATTGCCCCCTCCTTTCTAACTTTGTTGAAAAGAGTGAGCCCTTCCCTGGCCTGGGTTGTGGGAGTGTCCTTCTAAGGATTTTTATTGCTGTGATAAAGACCATTACCAAAAGCAACTTGGGGAGGAAAGGGTCCATTTTTCCCGAGTTTTCACATCTTAGTCCGTCACTGAGGGAAGCCAGAGCAGGAACTCAAGGCAGGAACTGGAGAAGAAGCCATGGGTGTGGTGATGGGCAGGGCTGCTGCTTTCAGGCTTGCTCCTGAAAGCTTGCTCAGCCTGCTTTCTTAAAGTACTCAAGGCCACAGGCCCACAGGTGGCCCCACCCACAATGAGCTTGGGCTCACATCAATCATCAATGAAGAAAATGCCCCACAGGCTTGCTGGTGTGATCATTTTCTCAACTGAGGTTCCCTTTTCCCAAATGACTCTGTCTTGTGTCAAATTGGTATAAAGAGGCACAAGGAACCTCTCACAACATCCGCATCAGGAAACAGTTCTGTTGCCTGTACTGTACTGGTCTCTTTTCGCCCCTCAGGGTGCAACATAGAAAACGCCTGCTACCCACTGGGCGTGTGCGCTGAGCGGACTGCCATCCAGAAGGCCATCTCGGAAGGGTACAAGGATTTCAGGGCTATTGCCATCTCCAGGTGAGTGGGATAGGCCAGTTACTGCAAAATTCATCATTCTTCCGCCTAACATCCCCCATACACAGCTCACTCATTCATTCGCCAGACCCATATCTGTTATATATGTTCTTTGGCAGCCAGGGGTAGGCCCTGGGGCTCAATGCTAGGGATAAGGAGGTAAATAAGAAATAGAGTCTGAGGCTGGGGACAAGACTCTAAGTGGAGTGCTTGCCTAGGATGTGAAGACCGTGGATTGACCCCAGCATTACATAAAACTCTATAATCCCAGCACTCAGAAGATAGAGGCAAGAGGACTAGAAATTCAAGGTCAGCCTTGGCTAAATAAATAGTGAGTTCAAAATCAGCCTCGACTATATAAGATCTTGCCTCAAAAAACTCAGCGGGGGCGGGGAGGTGAAGAGATGACTCACAGCGAGCTTAATGTATATGCTTGAAGACTTGAGTTCAGATCTGGGCAAGCTAGGTAAAAAGACAGTCATGATGGTTTGCGCCTGTGATCCCAGCACTGGCAAGGTGGAGACTGGCAGATCCCTGGAGCTGGCTGGCCAGACAGTCTAGTCCAAAGAGCGAGCTTCAGGTTCAGTGAGAGAACACCTTTCAAAACACAAGATGGGAGCTGGAGAGATAGCTCGGCTGTCTTACAGAGAACCTGAGGTTTGGTTCCCAGCACTGACATGGTAGCTTAACAACCATCTGTAACTCCAATTCCATGGAATCCAGCGCATTCCTCAGATCTCTGAAGGTGTCAGACATGCACATGGCACATAGACATAAATGCAGGCAAAATACACATATACAGCCAGGCGGTGGTGGCGCACACCTTTAATCTCAGCACTCAGGAGGCAGAAGCAGACAGATCTTTGTGAGTTCGAGACCAGCCTAGTCTTCAAGAACTAGTTCCAGGACAGGCTCCAAAGCTACACAGAGAAACCCTATCTTGGGAAAAAAAAAAAGACAACCCATATACATAAAATAAAACAATATTTTTTATATATTTGGTTATATATATATTTGGTTATATATATTTGGTTTTATATATATTTGGTTATATATTTGGTTATATATATTTGGTTTTATATCTATATATATGGTTACAGTAGCTGGGAAGACATCTGGAATTGACTTGCCAGCCTCCACGCATGCATGCACACAGACAGGCACACATACATACCCCCCCACACACAAACACAAGGAAAATAATAATAAAATACAGGGACCCAATCAGTGGTAGTGCAACAGGAGACAGTCAGAACTCCACTGGGAACCTCCAACCTCCCCTTAAACTTTTAGTAGCATCCATATAGGTAAAGCTAAACTCTTGGCTTTGAGGAAAAGCATTTTAAAACAAATCCATATGAAGTGGAATTGGAGTTTATCAAAAGACATTGAAAATGTTTCTTAGATTTACTTTTTTTAAAAAAGATTTATTTATTTATTATGTGTAAGTGTTCTGCCCGCATGCTGCCTACAGGCCAGAGGTGGGCACCAGATCTCATTACAGGTGGTTGTGAGCCACCATGTAGTTGCTGGGAATTGAACTCAGGACCTCTGGAAGAACAAGCAGTGATCTTAACTGCTGAGCCATCTCTCCAGCCCTAGATTTACTTTCTGTAGATAGGTGTTTTGCATGAATGTCCTATATGCCCTGTGTATCACATGCATGCCTGGTGCCTGAGGTCAGAAGAGGGCATCAGATCTCCTGGAATGGAATTACAGATGGTTGTGATGCAGGGGATCAAGCCCGCAATAACAAGTACTCAACTGCTGAGACGTCTCTCCAGTCCTTTAAAAGATGTTTTAAATGTATACTTTAAACAAAAAGGTTAATAGAAAGAGAGGCACCCAAGGAAGAATGAGGCACACCCAAGAGCTGGATGTGGGCTTCTCTGTGAACGAGGTTGGTCTCGAACTCAGAGACTTGCCTGCATCTGGCTCCAGAATGCTGGGACTAAAGGCACCTCTTTCCGGGATGTGGGCTTCTCAAAGGATATTTGTACGCACTGTGCTGAGCCTGTTGTGGCTGTGTGAGGGATTTGGAAGCTTTGGGATCTCACCATTCACCTGGTTTCTAGGGGCTCCTCTTCCTCTAACTTTCACTCTTCTTTTCTTTCGTTTTTGTTGTTTTGTTTGTTTGTCTGTTTTGAGACAAGGTCTCACTGTACAGCCCTGGCTGGCTACACAGTCATTATAAACCAGGCTGGCCTGGAACTCACAGAGGCTCCTGCTCCCTTGAGACTAGAGGTGTGCATCATGCCTGGCCCATTCTTGAATCTCAACTGCTGAGAGGCTTCAGCCTGATTCCTTAGTGTACGGCTCCTATCCCTTTGCGTGTCCCCGTAGTTTTCCAGTCTTTGTAGTCTACCTCAGACTGTAGCCTGGGGGTTAGCCTATGGAGCAGGTAGACTCAGGATGACTGCCACAGAAGGTATGTTTCTGTCCTGACAACAGTGAGTATGGCATAGTCCCCTGGAGGTACAGTGGAAAGACGTCACACAGAAACAGCCAGAGGACCTGATGCTCACTTAGTATAGACTCCCTTGCCACCACTCCACTTTTTTTTTGGGGGGGGGAGTTCAAGACAGGGTTTCTCTGTGGCTTTGGAGGCTGTCATGGAACTAGCTCTTGTAGACCAGGCTGGTCTCGAACTCACAGAGATCTGCCTGCCTGTGCCTCCTGAGTGCTGGGCTTGAAGGCGTGTGCCACCACCACCCAGCTGCCACAACCCCACTTTTATAGACAAAAAATAAACAAACAAAACTCTGAGGCTTGAAAAGTTAAGGACTTTCCTGGGAGTCAGTGGTAAAGCTGGGACAAAATGCAGGTCTCCGAGTCACAGTCCAGGGCACAGTCCACTGTGTCCTACTGAGCCAGGAGGCCAGATACTGTTCCCTGCTCTCCTTAAGTGGGTCCAGACCAGCTGTTCAGCTTTGCTAACTTCAGCACCCAGGTGAAGGTGCCAAAACCAAGGTCCAAAACCAAGCTGGGGCAGTGACCTCGTGACAGCTGTGTAAGCACTATGCTTCAGGCTAACGCAACTCCAGCTAGGATCCAGCTGGATAAGAATTCTAGTCAAGGACTGGAGAGATGGCTCAGATTAAGAACACTAGCTGCTCTTCCATTGGTCCTGAGTTCAATTCCCAGGGACCACATGGTGGCTCACAACTGTCTGTAATGAGATCTGATGCCCTCTTATGGCCTGCAGACGTACATGCAGGCAGAACCCTGTATACATAATAAATAAATACATAAATAAACAAAACCTCCAGCCAATGCTTCCTTGTGCCCCAGATGTGGTTGCTCTAGCTCCCATGAAACCCCTTCAAGGGGAGTGCAGTAGGATCTTGTTGGCACTGGACCGAGACTGTGTGGCTAAGACGGAAAACTGTGTGAATGGGCTCTTTACTGGTTTAAACCCTAACAATTCAACACTTTTGTGGTGAGTTGCACTTGGGTAGCCCTTTTGTATTGACTAGGAGTGAAGTAACCTTGGCGAGTTAATGGTTGAGGAAACTGACACAGGAAACGATGACCCCAGCCAGCAGAACCGCTGGCCAAGCATTGGTCTTTAGCAGTGTGGGACACAGACTCTGGAAGAACCATTTCTTCCTGGGAAGGGAGTTGCAGCCTGGTAGAGAAACAGAGGCTCTGAGAGCAAGGCTGACATGGTCTGTGCAACAGGGAGGACCTTCTGGCTTTCCCAAGACCCCGTGCTTTGTCCCAGTCTGGCCGGGAGGGGGTCTGAGTACCTGAGAGCTGTGTTGGAGTGACTGGAGCCAGGGATGCCCTTGAGAATCAAGGCAGTGATTCCTAGCTTTCTCTGGAGCTGAGGGCTGTGCAAGCTTCCCTTCAGGTTCCGGAGAATAAACGAGGCTGTGCTGGGAACATTTTGTGCAGCTGAGGACAGATCAGGATGTGCGTTGCACTTTATGAAGAAATGGGGAGAAATAACTCAATTTCAAAGCTGGTCCAGGAAAGTAATGATGTTCTGTGGAAGGGAGGCAAAGCCAGCAGAATGGTGCAGTAGCTGCTGGCTCTGTTAGCATTTGCCCAAGGAAAGGCTTTTCCCCTGCCCATCAGCTGCTTTTAAATGTGACTAATGGGGTCTTGCTATAATCGGCAGATGTCCTTATATAACACCTGCAGTTTCCAACACCCAACTGGCCTACTCCGGGACATAACCATATCCCCCAGCCAACACTGCAGTCATTATCACACTAAAGACATTAAACAGAGAGCATGGAGGAATGGGAAATGCTAGCCAGCTCTTACTGGCACAGAACAAGGCTGAGCAATCCAGTCCTCTCCCTAGGAACACAAAGGATGGAGATGCTGTGGGCGTTGGCAGAGCCAGGTGAGATTCTGGGGTCTCACTCAACTCCTAGCCTCTGTCTTCAGCGTCAGTAGGTTTCTGGCTTACCAAGCTGAGCATGACCTCAGTGTGTGGCCAAAGTCTACACAAACCGCAGGAAACCCTTGATGGTCAGTAAAAAGAACCCAGGTATGGTGGTTTGAAAGAAAATGGCCTCTAAAGGGAATGGCACTATTAGGAGATGTGGTCTTGTTGGAGGAAGTGTGTCACTGTGGGGGCGGGCTTTGAGTTCTCTCATGCTCAAGCTGTGCCCAGTGTCTCAGTTGACTTCCTGTTGCCTGCAAGATGTAGGACTTTCAGCCACTTCTCCAGCTCCACCTCTGCCTGCATGATATGTCATGCTCCCCGATATGATGATAATAGACCAAACCTCTGAACTGTAAGCAAGCCATTCCAAGTAAATGTTTTCTTTTGTAAGAGTTGCCATGGTCATGGTGTCTGTTCACAACAATAGAAACCTAACTAAGACATCCAGAGGTGGAGAATCAAGAAAAAATGTCTGAGGGTTAGTGCTCACTCTTGGCAAGAATGTTGAGTGACACTTAAAACCCCAGCTCCAGGGTCCCTGAGGCCGAGTTCCAATCTTTCCCTACTGTCCACCTGAAGTGTTTAGAAGCCTCTGAACTTGAATTTTGTATTTATTTTATTTTATTTTATTTTTAGGCTAAGTCTTCATTAAGCCAGGCTGGCCTTGAACTCACTTTGTAACTGAGGTTGTGGCCCCGAAATTCTAACCTTCCTGCCTTCACCTCTTGGGTGCTGGGGTTGTAGGTGTGTACTATCATTCCCACTCCAGGCGGTACTATGAATCGAACCCTGGCCTCTGTTCATTATAGTCAACCCCAACCACAATCCCAGCCCTCAGCCTGGGTTTTTTTTGGGGGGAAGGGGATTGGTTTTTCAAGACAGGGTTTCTTTGTGTAACAGCCCTGGCTTTCCTGGAACTCACCTTGTAGACCAGGCTGGCCTCGAACTCACAGAGATCCACCTGCCTCTGCCTCCCGAGTGCTGGGATTAAAGGTGTGCGCCACTAACTCCCGGCCACCTTTGTCGTCTGAAATGAGCCAGCAACCTATAGAACCCTTTGTAGGGATCTCAGCATGCTAGGCACAAAGTACACAGCACAACAGCTACTGTTAACACACAGTAAGATTAATTATCAACACCATAGAGCAACGGGTATGGGATAAAGTACTAAAATGATGACACAGAGCTTGCTTGCGGAAGGGAACAGGTGGGCAGAAATTAGCCACGGCGATAACAATATAGCATGCTGAGGCTTATAAAAAAAAAAACAAAAAACCCGGGGCTGAGGATTTAGTTGAACTGGAAGAGTGTCAATGCAGCATGTACAAAGTCCTGGGGTCCATCCCCAGCAATGCATAAAACCAGGCATGGCGGAGCATGCCTGTAATTGGAGAACTTGGGAGATGGAGGCAGGAGGCTCACGAGGTCAAGGTCATCCTCACCTACGTAGTAAGTCGGAGGCCAGCCTGGGGTACATGCGACCCTGTCTCAATAATAAATAAAGTTTACACATGCTCTAGACATGTTCTCACACTTTGTTGAAATCCTGCCAAGTAGATGACATTGTTGCCTGCTTGTTACAGAGAAAGGAACAATCCCTGGATGACTTACGATGACTCAGAACCACACAGTGAGCAAAACAGAGTTGGCTAAGAGTCAGAATTTAAATCCCATGATCTTTTAGAGCAGTCACAGAGCTGCAGGGATGCTGGCACCAGGCACCAAGGCCCCTATAGTCAAATCTTTGTCCTCTGTCTGAGCTGAAGGACTGCTCAAAGGGGCCTGAATTCTCACAAGCAACGCTGGCTGGAAGTGTGTGTCTTTCTCTGTCACTCTCAGACGCCAGGAGCCCATTTTCTTCTTTGGTACACATCCATGATATTCTTCTGCACCCAGGCCTGGGCATTTGTGTCTAATCTTTCTTTTTCTTCCATTCCCTTTTCTTTCTTTCTACAGACATTTTAATCTATGTGTGTATATGCATGCATGTACATGTGCCTGCGTGCATGCATATGTGCGTGTGTGTGCGTGCATGTGTGTGTGTGTGTGTGTGTGTGTGTGTGTGTATGTGTGTGTGTATGTGTGTGTGTGTGCCCAAGGAGGACACAGTAAGGCTTCAGCTTCTCTAGAGCCAGAGCCACAGATGGTTGTGAGCCACCCTGTGGGTGCTGGGAATAGAACTCAGGTCCCTTGGAAAAGCAACACATATTCTTAACCACTGAGCCATCTCTCCAGCCCCCACCCCACTTCTCTCTCATATTTGTTTCTCTAAAAGCACAGAACACCCACTTGGACTTCAGAATAGCCATTCTGTTAGTCATCTCACCAAACCTATGACCTCATCAATAAAACAGCTATCCTGGCACACAGCTTGTTCTGAAAATTAAACCTAATGACATAGTTAAATGCCTGGTACAATAGTTTTTCACTAAGTGGGAATGAATGACTCTTCCTGTGAGGACCGGCTGATGCTGCCTTCCGTGTGTGACATTGTCTCGCTCTAGTGGCAGGCTTTTTACTGTGCATTCTTAATGCATTTTACTTAAAATAACAAGTTTAATTTTGTGTCACCTACTGGGATGAGCCCGCCTATGAAGGATAGAGACAAGCCCTCCTTCTCTCCTGTGTCCTGGAATGTGGGTGGCAAGACAGCTAAGTGCCCCTTAAACATTTATGAGTTCTCTGTTGAGGCCAGCATTGCCACAGTGGCTTTGCTTTCAGGAGTGTGGCCAGCCACCAAGTCGCCTTCCTAGCCTCCAGGACACAGTGATTCTGGGAATCAGGAGATGGGATATGACCTGGTTTGCAGCAGGGCAGGGACTCAGCGTGTGAATCTCAGCATCAGCCAAAAGCCTTGCATTGCCCTGAGTTGAGTCTTTGTTTCCCCAGTGACTTGCAAGAAGAGTTTATCTCTCCGTGTGGAGCCTGCCGACAAGTCATGAGAGAGGTAAGAACGTGGTTTCTCCGTGGAAAGCAAGCCTGATGTCTCTTAGGGGCCACACTGGACTGCCAGGGTGGACAGTTACTGCCCGAGCTAATCAGCTGGCTGATTCCTGTGGCCTTCCTGGGTTCACATGAGCCGCTGGAAATGAGTCCCTCTGTAGCAGGAATACTAAAAATCCAGAGTCAGATATTGGGGTTCAAGCTGAAGATCAGAAAAGCAAAGCAGCCAGCCACTAGGGAGTTCTTAACTCTACCAAGGCTGGGGCGATCCTGTCCTCATCGTGACTGCAGACTGAACACACACTGCACTCCTGTCTCCACCCGCCTTATATTCTTTCTAGTGCTGGGATTAAAGGCGTGCACCACCGCCGCCCAGTTTCTATGGCTAAGTAGTGTGGCTAGCTTTGCACTCTGATCTTCAGGCAAGCTTTATTTGTTCATCATAAACAAAACATCACTACATCCCTCTTTGAACATATACATACTGACAACTCAGCCAATCCCAGCATGCCCTTTGACTGTAGAAAGACTGGTAGGGGCACAGCTATGCCCAGTTGCTGCTGTGTTGTGTTGACCACTCTGGCGCTGTGGTAGCAGGGCTGAGCAGTTACAGGAAGGCCACACAGCCTGGGAAACCCGAAATACTTCCTGTTTGTCCTTTGTCAGCAAAAATGTTCCCACCTTCTGCTCCGGTGGCCATGAAGGTGACATTCTAGTAGAAATATAAATCATGAAAAACAGTGAGACAGAGAGTTCTAGAGAAGGAGAATTCTGGACAGATAGACCAGTGGGTTTCACATGGACCTAGATGTTTGCTATGTGGTGAACAGCAAAAGGACAAAGGGCAGTGTGGGGGTTGGGGGAGGGGGAGGTTGGGGGCAATGGGATAAAGGAAGAC